TTACTTTTCGTTTATTTCAAATATATAAATAATAAAGTGAGTAAGATCACATGTGTACACAACAATTGAAATCAAACAATCGCGGTGATGACTTCGTACCGAAGTAATGACCGCAGTATTAACCCATTAAAGTGAAAAGATATGACTCTGAGTGAAGCTTATTTTGAAAGTTACATAAGAGCGAGCAGATACAAAATCCTAAAATATAAACAATGTCTGTCATAGCGCACCTGTTGAGCAATGGAATGCGTGATTATATCCACAAAATGAGATATTTGACACAACACTGCTACTGTCAAAATGTATAACAAAATGAAAGATATAATTGCCTAGAGGCAGTTAACTTATTAAAACACATCTACATTTGTGACTGCATCCACTGTTCTCGTTCGTGCTGTAATTCGGCACGATAAAGGCTGGGCTCGTACTTTTTCCTTTTGAAAAAACCACACCGCCATAGTATCAACACCACAATTAGAAGAATAAGAAGGCCAATCAAGGCGCTGACTAGGATTATCCACCATGGAACAGGACGAGATCCTGAACAAGTTTTGTTGTCACAAGAACAAAACTATCTTGACTCTCACAATGAATAGGTAACTAACCAAGAGCAGGTCTGTCAGGGTATGCCAGCGTTTTGACGCTTACTGCATTATTGCTGGGGTCGTCTTCAATCCCTTGGCTTGTGTCCAACTCAATTCTTCCATATGAAGCAATTTCAACATACTCCACATCAGAATAGTCCTGGAATTATGAGCATAAGAACGATTAGTCAGTGCTCATTCCAGGCAAAGATTCTATCCTAACCTCAATAAAAGTCGTGTTCCATAATCGAGCCCGGAAATCGACAACGGGAGCGGAATTTGCATCGAGGAAGTCGAAATGACACGTTACCGTAAAGCATTTTGCTGTTTTCTCTGCGCATCCCTGAACAGACTTCCGTCAACAATGAACAGTTACATCGATGTTACGTGAATGAAGATACTCACAATGGTGACAACAGAAACATCGACACCATTCTCCTTGCGTTTATGAGGTTCTATTCGTGAACGCAAAAAACCGGCCTCCGCGACTGTGACTTGTTCTGTGTTCCGCTACAATAGACAGAGTTAACCAACATTCACAGTGTTTTAAACTACTGACTCATTCGTCTAGCAACACTGAAAGTAGCTTACCTTCACTCGTCGCGTGACCGGTGGTTGATGTGTTGTCTCTTGCGTTGTATACTTCGTGTTAAGCTTGATATGATCCAATGGATTCACATGGTCAAGCTTTCGCTCAACAGAACACCTGAAAGCACGGGAATAATTGACGTGACAATGAGCACTCAAGAATAAAATAGAAAGATGAAGAAGAAATGGTAGGATGCACACAGAAGTTTGTCTTATCATTCCTCAACGTATATCAACTAGACACTGCTGAAGTGCCTGAAATACTGCTTCCCAGCAGACATTCGTTTTCACAAAAGGGTAGTGATAGGAAAGTCGGTCAAGAGATTATGTTATGGGGCAACATGGATTTGTAAGAGGCGTTACGTTCGTGGAATCCCCTCCCCCTAGGATCTACTACTTTAGTATGAAAGAGCTAAAGTTAAGTCAACTGGCCAGTCAGAGTACGGAAAAAAGGATCTCTCAACCGACATTATGGAAACCGTAATCAACTTACTAGGAGCGACTGGTGTGGATGCATTAGAAGACCAGTGTTGCTACTAAGTAAACCAATAATAATTGGGAGGTTCTTAAGAGCAGAAACAATTTTTCGGGATGGCTTGTTAGACACAGGAGTACTTACAGAAAACAAGGATCTAAGGCAGTTCCCCCTGAACAGCTCAAGATAGACAACACAAAAACCGAAAGATGTTGGAGAAATGCACTAATGAAAGCTTTACAGCTGACATGCATCGATAGAGGATCGACATTCACAGGTGTTGATGGACTAGCCCTATATCTAACATGCAGGCGCAACGCAAATAGTTGTTTGAGAGTAGTGTTGGATGTTCTTAAAGGGGTTTTGCTTGTACAGGGAAACAGGGCTGTTTCTCTATACCAAAATCAGAGCAAATGCAGACAGAAAGGCAACCTCCCGGTTACAATAACAATGTGAACTCCAAAAATTTACTCCCAAAAAACTCGAGATCAAAAAGACAGCAAAAATCTCGAAAGTTTCCCAAAATAACTTATCATGCGATATTTTGAATACGCTGTTTTTGCTGTATTGAGATTTTGGAGTAAAAATTTTTGAGTTTCACATTGGATTATTACCCATCAGCGTTAAGAAAATGAGACCCAGACAAGCGCCACTACTCCAAAGTCAAAGCTATTCTTTGCACCACTTTTTTCGGACATTTCGAAGGCAAATGTCTAACTGAAAACTTACCGTCGGATATCCACAGTCCCGTCAGTGTTGTAGATCGTTACAGTAGGCACATCGAGGAAGGTAGAGCGCCCATTTTCCTTTTTGGCGAGGTGATTCGACTTGGTAAGGCCAATCAAACTAAACGATGTCAGCTCTTCATCAAGAACTTTACCAACATGGCTATCAGAAAAAAAATTCAGACGGTCTTCGGAGAATCGTAGTAAATCAATAAGGAACCTTAGCATAAACATTGCGAACAGTCCACGGTCCTTTGTTATGTAGCGTGTAGTTATGACGGACCATCACACCAATGTCCTCCTCCAAGTCCATTGAAGATCGTCTATAAAAATTTTGGCTTTCATGAATCTAGGGTATAAAACGGCCCTGTTAGAAAGACAAATGCTGTTGACAACCTTGCCACGTCCCACCAAACCGAACAAGGGGAGGGTCACTTGTTCCTACAAGTTCCATCTCGGCCCTTTTGATTATCTGGAGCTCAGATTTCCAGACATTGTCTCCTGAAAATTAGTAATGTTCGAAGAAACGAAAAAATCACATCTATTTCCTGAAGCACACTTATGAATGTTAAATGCTTACCTGGATTTGTTTCCTTTGAAGTAGAATTGACAATGGCTGAGAACTGGAGCGGTCGGCCAATTCCTTCTGTCCTACCACGCATTAGCTTGAAGCGAAGATCGAATGAGTGCTGAAGTGTCTTTACTGAGAAACTATAACAATTGTAAGGAAGGTTCTATTTTTATTTTCTCATACCTTCGAACTGGAATCCATTGGATTTCCCAGGTGAACCACAACAACATTTTTGCCAACTGTCTCCCAGCCAAGTTTTGCTCCTCCTAAAAAGCCCATTATTTGAAGAGTACGTGAGCTACAGAAGATCAGCAATGGCACAAACTTACCGACAACCATAGGAAGTTCGAGTTCTTCTGGATCGTAGGTGAGAAACAGCGCTGCTTGATACGCCTTTTCTTTACGATTTTCAACCGTGAACGTAATGTCTAGATAATCCTTATCGCCCACATTCGACACGTATCCTTTCTCGGTTCTAAATACTCAGCTGAAGCATTTCATTTAGGCGGTAATAACCTTGAAGGAGGCATTTATAGAAATGATGCTTCTGTAAAACAGGGACTACCGTCACCTGAACAGAATTACCGTGCACTGAGTTAATTCACCTCACCACTTCTTTCCCTTTTAGTTCAAGGCTAGTCCTTACACATATACATTACGGTAATTTAGCTCAGAACAAGAAAGCTCTCTCTGAATGCCCCTTTCAAGATTATTAGATCCTCCATTTGTTGAGGAAGATGCAGACACGTGAACTCACTAAACTGGCTACATAGTAAACAGAAGCTAGAGAGAAAACCACCTACTTTGGTATGTCGACAAATACTGCTTTCAGTACTAGGTCAGTCTGGCACACTTGGTCTTCACCACATCTCGTATTAAAAGGTATCTGAATATGTCGATGTTGGACTGTGCTCGTAAAAAACCAACAACGACCTTGCCAATTCAAAAGGCTAAGAATAGGAAAAGGAGCCAATTCGGCGCCCTCGCTCATTCGCAGTGATGATCAAAATGAATAGTGCTTACCTCAAACTCGTAACTGGCACCGTACTTGTTGAGAATTGGATATTGCTTCAAATCAACAACTGGACGTCCTTCAGCCGGATGGAAAGGTTTCCGTTCATTCATTATCCGCACGGTGAAACGGAATTTCAGGGGATTTATCCAGTCCTTCGCAGCATTGTCATTTTCCTAGAAAAAAATTGGTTTGAAAGAGAAACGCTACCATACTATTTCGCAGCTCAAAATGAGTGG